TTTTTTTTTTTACGTATTAGCCCCCCCTACCTCGATCCTGGATCCGTCCCTGTTGACATTGCTATAGTGGGATTTCCAAAAAAAAAAAAAATGGACTTACATTGTTTAAGCTTTGAATCCCATCTTCTAATGAAAATAGTGTGGATTTATGAGACGGTGAAATTTTGATTGATTAAAGGAGTTTATTACACACGAGAACTCTTTTTAACTTACCCGTCAACACAAAATCTCCCCTCTACAATGCAAAAGCTTACTCCAGAGAAGGGATCAATCGTTTCTAAGCTCATTTGTGCATGGAGACTTTGACATGGCTGAAGGCACAGAACTTCAAGAGAAGATAAGTCACAATTTCATCGACGACAAGACAAAACAAATGTTACAAGCTGGAAAAATATGTACACAGAAAGTCAGCAAAATTATTCACCTATACATACACAGGCAGGTTACTCATGTCTGATGAAGATCAATAAACAAGTCCTACAAAACAAGATGGATGTCAAATAAGCATACTTGAGACTTACTACCGAAGTAGCAAATATACATTCAAACTAGTAATGAGCTTTAATACCGCTTCACATGATATATATGGTGGAGTGCATTATCTAGTGGGTACGAGGCTAACTAATAAATGGGTGCAAACAGTCCATAAAAAGGCTAAGCGCTTGCTTGGCTAAGCTTTTAAGCACTTATAAGGTCCCACGGAATGTGTGGTAAAAAGCAAATAAAACTTGTGAGTCCTAGCATAGTTTGATAAAACGTAAATGGGTACTGAAGCGTTTTTTTGTCACGAGGCGAGGCGTAAGCCTCAAAACGTTTTGAGGCGTAAGCTTCACCACAAACAAAAAAACTTAAGTTAAAAAATTAGAAAACAACATAAAAATATATAACTAATGGTTCCAATGAACAATAAATGATCATGAATATTTTTTAACAAAAAAAATAAAAAAGCAAAATCCAAAATATATTAATAGTTGAAAAAAACAAGTACTTAATCTAATAAGGAAAAAAAATTACTGTCGCAACTTCCCATACATCACAATCCTATGCGTGGCATAAACCTGTAACATGTGTCAAAAGGGCCGGTCTGAGGCGTACAAGAGGCGTGCTGCAGATTCAATTAAGGCGCACGCCTCTCAAGATTAGCCTCAAAAATACCGTCTCGAGGCATACTACATGAGCCTCACAGTGAGGCAGGCCTCAAGGCGGGCCTCTTGAGGGTTTTTTCATACCATGAGTCCTAGGGAATGTGAGGATAAAAATAGAGTTTAACCACTCAATAGTAATTATAAGCTTTGCCAACATGCATTGAATTGGGTATGAGGCATTTTCCTTATGCAAGGCAAGGCATAGGCCTCACTACGAACCACCAAAATAATCTAATAAATTATTAAAATACAAAATTATACTCATAGTAATCAATAAATCATCTACAAAATCTATGGTAAAACATGTCTACAATATTAAAAGTCTAATACACAACTAGAAGCATAAAATGGATCCACCAATTAGCAATCACACGACCAGGCCATTAATCCATAACTATAACTGAGAACGCTAAACCAAATCAAACAACTAAATAACTATTTGCAAGATTTTTCATTGCTCCGACTCCAAAATGAAATAAAAACTTGCAGACAACAAGAGGAAAAATAAGAAAGAGAAAACATGTGAAGTTGAATGTCGTAGGTCACCTGTCACCCGTCATCAGCCTCCTGAAAATTGCAACATCACTTTGAGGGGATCAAACTTTAGATGGAGTAAAGGGCTAGGGAATGCGGGCTTTTCTCTTTCTATAACCTCCAATTCTTTTCCAGTTTCCAAGAATGGGTTGTGTTTAAAATAGCCTAAAAACCTTAAAACTTCTTGGCTACGAGATATAAATCAGACCTAAAAGCTGAGGCTGGTTGAGAGAAGATCCAAAAGGCAAGACTAAGAAGTGCAAACCTCAACTGCCCTTAGGCATGCACCTTAGTAAATCTAGGATATATGGGCGGTCATAGTCAAATATTGAACTATAGGATGGTTTCCAATAGTATACATATATAATGAAAAGCACGTATGTGGACAGAAGAACAATAGTAGTCAGAAATATTAGAAAACGAAACTAGGGAAGGGTAATGCTTCAAATATCTGACAGAATAGAGATATCAATCATCAAGAATTTTCAACGCTTTAGATGAGCTATACAGAGATGAGAGGCTTCATTGCAGGAGAAATACAAAACATAGATCAAGTGTGGGATTACAGCGAAAAAAAGGCTTTCTGAGATATTTTGAATGCTATATAAGGCTGACTGCCAAAGTAGTTAAAACAAACCCATACATAAAAAAGCATACACCAAAAACCGCTCCGATAGCAATTGTTAAAAGACTTCAATATAACATATTAAACCTTATCCCGTCTATGCATTAACTGTGCTTACGTCAAATTCTCTTTCGTGTTTTCTGACTTCCTGGAATTCAATACTCTTGCAAACAAGTGTCTGAGGAACATTGTTAAGCAACACTGGAAAGAAGTCAACACACGGTTGTGTGTGAGTATATATATGCAATTGTCCAGGGTAACAGATATGGACTTTAATGAAAAACTAATAGATATGGCAGAATAGTAAAGACTTAACAATTGTCCCTTACCTGATGTAGTCATTTAACTGGCCTCGGAAGAAAGAAAAACCAATTTTTTTACGCCAGCCTGCAAATGAACTAAAAACCTCCCATGACAGTAAACTTCACCTTGAGGCCAAAACATGCATCCCCCAAATTAGACAAAAAGTAATTGGAGGAAGCATCATAAAGTTAAAATTTGTATAGTCAGATACATCAATACATCTTTATTTTACATGTCAACCACTATTTCGGACAAGAACGACTGCCATCATGCTTGTGTTTATTTGGGTATAAACAAACCAAATCTTGTTTGCATCTATGTGGTAAATGGAAAAAAAATTAAAAGAAGCAAGCATACGAGTGAAAAAGGAAAAAGAAACCCATCTTCTATTTTCTTAATAGAATGTTAAAGCATATATATCTCACAGATGGAATATAACACCAACGAGAACATGGATCTAAATATGTAAATTAAAATAAATTCCACGGACAGGCTTTAAATCCGAACATACTGCTGAAAAGGCCGTGTGGTCAGATTTAATAAAGGAGATCCCAATAGACAAGCGAAATATAGGAAAACGCTAACTGCGACAAGAAACTTAATTTCGAAAAACCCCAATTAAATTAGAAAATAAATTAGGGTTTCCATAGTTCCGAGATACCAGCTCGAATCAAATCGCCGCTCCGTTGTCGGGTTCAGTCGCAAGAGGATCCAGTCATCGGGAGTTTGTCATTTCATGCCAACAAAGGAGAAAGACTGAGATAACTACGGAGGCCGGCAGTCGCCGATCAATTCGCCTTCAGATCCGGTCACCGGCTGTTGTCGTTCGATGCCAGCAAAGGAGAATGACAAGCCTGACAAAAGAGCATCCCTTTTATAAATAAAGCTAGTTAGGTATCTAGCACTACTGTGCGCCCTGTAGTTTAGAACTAGTTTAGGACGCCGCGAAACGCTCATTTGTCAAACTTGTAATTCTCCATTGATGTAACACCGAAATATAAAATTTTTTATCAGACGAGCTCTTCTTCTATCATAGAGAATAGAGATGTAGAAATGGTTTGTGAGTAAATTTGGCTAACTTTAAAAGTAACTTCTACTTTTTTCTAGAGAAGATGTTCAAGTTAAATGTCTATTTTATCCTTAATAAATACGGCCATCCTTTTGCTTCAAGTCAAGACATGTTATAAATGATAAGTTTATTAGTGAATCACAATTATATCCCAACAGCTCTAGAAATTATTACCATTATATTCCTAATTGTTTCCTATATAATATATGACTTTTGCTTTCACCATAATATGCGCAAGCCTATTAACTTTTATTTTCACTTCTCTTTCTCTATTTTCACAACACGAAAACTTAGGCCCTGTTCTCTTTGCCGTTTTTGGGTCGTTTTCTGTTTTCAATTTTTCAAAACAGCGAAAACGCGTTCTCTACCTTATTTTCGAAAACGAGTTTTTCAAAACGAAAAAAAAAATAACACAGGAAACAGAAAACGGGCAAATCATCGTTTTGGAAAATTTCAGACAAAACACGGCAAATTCCCAAAACACTCCCAAAACACGTGAAACGGTCTCTCCCTCGCCCAACTCTCTCCCTCACAGAGAACCCTCGCCACTGTCTCCGAAACGGTCTCTCCCTCGCCCAACTCTCTCCCTCACAGAGAACCCTCGCCACTCTCTCCCTCTCCCTGCAACTCGATATCCTCTCACACCCACCACCCTAAAACAAAATCAGTGACGGATCGAAGGCCAAATCGAACGATTGTAGACGGATCTTCAAATCAAGGGCTTTTTTGTTCTTGTTTAGCCGGATCGAAGGCTTCACGACTGGGAGTTTGAATCTAGGTTTCGCGTCTTCAAAACCAGGTTTCGATTCCTTTGCTTGTGATAATAGTTGGTTATTTGACTGCTATTCCGTGTCATAGTACTTGGTTCCGATTTCGCACTGGTTTTTAATTTGTTTGCTGTGAAACCTGACCTGAGTCGGGTTGGATAATAGGTTGGGCAGTCAATTCGCAGGGGGAATGCCTACTGGTGGTGGTGGCGGAATTGAAGGTTGAATTCGTAGGGGGAATGGGTAGCTGGTGGTGGAGTTGGTAGAATTTCTGGGCTACCTGTGTCTTGCTAGGTTTGTAGAATTGCTGGAATGGTGATGGAGTTGGAATTGATAGAATGGTGATGTTGCCTGTGTCTGTGTCTATGTTCGGGGAGGTTGAATTCGTAGGGGGAATGGCTACCTGTGTCTTGCTGTGTCTGTGTGTATGTTTTATGGTTTTGGTTTCTGGGGGTGAGTGGAAGGGGGTTCATGTCAATGTTATAGCAAATACAAGATATCCAAGATGAATTTTAATTGGTTTCCTGTAAATGCAGTTGCAACTACTTGAATGTTTCTTTCTCCTTTTTCTTGTGGAAAGCAGATTTTTGGTTAAAGGCTAAGAATAAACGACTGCTTTAAGACGTGAAATGATCAAAATGGTGAATTCTATAATGAAAATGGCTCTCTTGCTATTGTCTATAGAGAAGCAGGAGCCAATATTGGGATAACCTATGTATCTTCAATGGAAAAACATAATTAGGATTGGATTCTTGACTCAAGCTACTCATTTCAGATGAATCCCAAATTAGGATGATTTTCTGATTCTTCAAATCTTCATTGGGGGACTTGTGAAATTAGGGAA